TTTTTCTTTAAAATGCGTCTACACACATTTATACATATTCTTTTGTTTATGTGGCATGCTTCACGGTTTTCAAAAATTAATAATCCAAATAATCTGGGCAAAAGTCCAAGGGTTCTCATTTAACACAAAAACGGAGGTTCTTATGTGTCACCAACTGTTGGTGTTGAGACATAGCCCAAGTATTTCTCATCCAGAAATAGTTTGTACTATTGTGGTGTCTGGGAGGAGCAAGCTGCCTGCTGATCCCTGCAGGCCTCCTCCTTGGACACACGTATCTTTGTTTCCCGGATAAAGGGATTCAAACATTGAGCTCCCAGGACACAGCCCTGGGGGTTTCTTCATGTGTATGCGTCCTTGCCAGAGAGGGCAGACTGATGAGAGGGCATCAAGGGTGGGGCGTGCCAGTCGTGCAGAGAGCACGATGCCTTCTAGGGGAGCCTCCCCCTCAGAAGAGGCCCACACACAAGGCAGAGGCCTTCTGCAGTGCAGGTGGCCGGAGTAGCCCAGTCTCTTACTTCAAGTAAGCCCACCATGGCCGCTCCCAGCAGCCTCTGATGCCCAGCAGGGCTGGGGGTAGGGCTGAGAAGCCACTTGGCTTGGAAGCTCCACTGTGCCCTGACCACTAGCACTCTCAGAGCTCAGTCCATCACCCTGTCCTGCCTAGAGGAGAAAAGATGAAAGGAAGCCGTCGTGTGGATTAGTGGTGTCTTTATTTATTTTTTCATCTGTAGTCACTTCATATGTTACTTTGTGAATGTACTTTTTTTTCCTTAGGCAAAAATATGAGTGTCAGTTCCCACCACCAAGTTAACAATCAAAACAGAGCAATAGTCTTAACCAGGGTTATGTAGAGAGTGTTCCCAAGCAAGCATAAAACTGACATTGATTTCTTTGCCTGGAAATAAAAAAAATAAGTGTCTGTGAGTCATCTTTGGATTTGCATTACAAACAGGAATGCAAATGAATGCCACCCTGTCTGCATAACTTACAGATTTCAAAAATATGTTTTGATTTGATGCATTTTAAGCAGAATATGCAAAGTTTACTAAAATCCTAAAATTTTCCAGTTAAGTATTCAAAGTTTAAGTTTTTGCTTGTGTTGATGACTCATTTTCTCTTTTGTTTTCTGTTTTTGTTCTTGATTTACCTTAACCTACCTGCTGACTCACGCCATCCAACCAACATACAATGCGAAAACCATGTCTCCGTCTGTATGTTGCGCACCTGCTGCTCAAACATCCCAATTTGTAAATAATACGCAAATATCCATCCATGAAAACATCACATATAGGAAACGGTTGGTTTCGTGACTTTAAACGGTTCTTAAAATCCTTGCTTTGCTTGCTGTGCTCCTGCTCTTTCTTCCATTTCCTGTGACCCCTAGCCACTGCCTTCCTGAGGTGTGTGGTCAGAGTCTGGCGGTACCCATTCCCTCTGGCCTCTTCTCCTCAGTTCTGGGGGTCCAACAGGGCCTTCTGAAGACCCTCCCGGGAGCCATTTGATTTCAGGAACTGGCTTTGGGTCTAGAGAGGAGGTAGGGTCTTCTTGAGTGAGGCGGGTAAGTGGCCAGTCAGTTTTTCCTGTTGGGATTCGCTCAAAATTGGAGGGGTTTAGTAGGACATGAGTCTGGACCTGATCCTGTAGAGTCCATGGTTTCTCTCGCAACATCTCCCTTCTATCTGTCCCCATCATGCGAACAGACAAGGTCGGTTCTCCCCAGTGGCCTCTGATGATGTCTCCTAGAGCGTTCTTCCCAGACCTGCCCTTTTATAGGGAATCCTCCCCGGGGCTCAGGGCTGACGGGGATTTGAGATTCTGTCTACATGATTCAGCAGGGGTTGTATAAGGCCTGACCGAGTAGGAAGAGGGGGGTCTGCCCCAGGAGACAGTGGAACACAGGGCTTGTGCATGCAGGCATCACTGATCCTTGTCAGTGTGTGCCCTTGGTCAGAGAGCTTGTGTGGAGTGCAGGCGGCGTGAACTGGGGCTTTCTCCCAGGCCTTTAGGGATGTTTGAGAGGAGAGCGGTTACCAGGAACAGAGGCTGTGACTGGAAATTCACATAAAATAGCAAATATTTGAAATTCCTATTACAGAAAGTCAGTGTTGGTGATAAAGTATTTCACAATTGGAGCAGAAAAGCTTGAGTTTTGAGAAAATGCCATTAACTGCCACAGAAATCCCAAGCAGTGTGTTCTGCATGGGCTTCGACCCACTCAGGCCTGTTCACAGCCCTGCCCTGTCTGTGCGGGAAGAGCACCCCCTTTGTGCTCCCCCTCTTCGTTCGGAGTGCACGCCTCACCTGACATGCTGGATACGCAGGGCTTTCCTTTCTTTTCTTCATCATCGTCACGTGAGAAGCAAGGAGGGGAGCAGTTTGTTCCACACTAGCTGGGCCTCAGCGCCAGCGTGGAGTGTGGCCCCCAGCTCACCTGCACAGGTCACTCTGCTGTGACCCTGACTCGAGGCTTGACGGTGGGTGCAGGGGATGCCAGTCTGGGCCTGGGGCCAGTTAATAACCCTTTGTGGGGGGCATGTTTCACAATGCCTGGCGCACTTTTAAATCCCTTTCCTCAGTGATTCCTCACTGTCTGGGCACGATGTCCTAATGTCTCTGTCTTGTGAGTGAGGAAGCAGGGACTCCAAGGAGCTAGGAACAGTATACCCTCAAGATGATCAGCTACCACGTGAAGGGATGTGGTGATGCATCTTTGGGGTGCTCTAGACCCTTTGTGATGTAGAGGCAGAGTAAGGAAACAGTAGGTAAAGTAGTAGGTTGTCCCTCGTGTGACAGAAACCATGGACTCTGGTAGGATAAGGCAGGCTGTGTCCACCTCCAAAGGGTTGGCTGGGGCCAGAGGTGACTATGCACAGCCACGGGGAGGCTGCCATGTGCTTGCTGCCCCGCCCTCCTGCATGCAGTCCGCATGGTGGTTCCTGGCAGCTCCCACCCCGGGTGCAGCCACAGTGTGCTCAGCCTGCCACGCTGCGCTTGGAGTGTCTGTGGCTGCTGTCACCATCCGTCCTCATGGCTCTCAGGGCTGTCTGTCTGTTGCCATCCCCACCCCTCTCCTGGGTGCCCACTGGAGCCCTGAGAAAAGGAGTCTGGGAGGGGGTGGGGTGGGAACTTGAGTCTCAACAAAATATAGTCAGTGACTTGTTGAATGTTGCATTTGTGCATTAAGTAATTTGGGTGAATAATGCCTTTCCCTGCCTTGTTTGTCTTCCAACCCTTCTTTCTCAACCAGAAGCCTATATTTTTCCCAGTATCTTCAGGAAATCTTCTGGTCTATGCCCGTGGCCTGAGTAGAGTGCTTTGGGCCGGGAAGATGCTGACTGTGTTATAAGTCTTGGCCTCTCCAGACCCAGCTGAGCAGACGGTTTCAAAGTAGAGACCTTAGGAGAGGCCAGGCACTTGGAAGCCCCCTCCCCTTCCTCTGATTTATTGTCTTGTACAAAGGATTTCCTGGCACTGTAGACAGAGTCCCCCTCCCATCCTTGTGCCCGTCCTCCTGAGGTGCTGGCTCATTTGAGAGTCCTGGGGCCCATGGAGTGAGTGTGGGTGCTTCTCAGCCATCCTGTACCACTGAAATTCTCTCTCCCCAGCACAGCAGGTGAGGGAGCTGTAGGCAAAAAACTTGTGTACACTCCAGGGTCACACCCTGCCGTCCCCTTCTGCCTTCTTGCTGATCTGGACCACAGTTGGCACCTCCTGCGACTGCCAGACCTCCCACCCCATGACTCCCATATCCAGCCCTCCAGCAGAGGCAGTCCAGAGTCTCCAGACGCCCTGGTGGAAACCAAAGGAGCAGACAAGGGCTGGGTTGGGGCCGCCGTTCACAGAAGTAAGAGAGAGACTGGTCCCTCCACTGAATGCCTCATCCCAGCCAAGACCAGATGGGCAGTCCTGGAGGGAGGGCACCGCAGTCCTGGAAGGAGGGCACCCAGCTCTCCCCAGGCTCCCAGTGCCTCCTGCACGTGCTCCTCTGCTGCTGCTCTCATTCAACATGCTGTGTTCTCTTTTCTCTTCATTTGACCACTGAATCTGGTGATACGATGTGTCTAAGCCTGAGCTGCTTGCATATGTTAGAACACTCAAGTGGCAGGAAGCTGCTCTCAGGCTGTGGGTGGGCACCTGTTTTCTAAGCAGACAGAGGGTGGGAAGCGGCCTGGGTCTACAAGCACCCCCATCTCGTGGATACCACCCAGAGCCGTGCTCCCTGAAAGGGAGGTGCCAGTAATTCGAGGTGCCCCTGGGCCAGGGCGGAAGCCTCACTCCCAGGTAATCTGTGGAGTCCAGAGATAACTGTTTCTTTTTGCGCTTGATTTTGAACCCCTTGGATGAGGGAGCAGTGCTAGTTACCCTGGGATCTCTGGAGCTGAGACCATTTGTGGATTTTGTAAGTGGCTTCCGTGGTGTGAGCAGAGTCACCGACACGCCTCCTGTGGTGACTTGTCTGTAGGCACCCAGAGCAGCCCCAGGGGCAGTGCTTGCCCCTCTGCCAGGTCCCGGGGCTTCACTGACTGTGTGGAGAAGGGAAGGGCCCTGCCACCAAGCCTGGGGTGGGGCCCTTCAGAGGCTCTCAGCGGAGAAGCAGTTCCGCCCAGCGCTCAGACGGCTCGGCTGTGTCCTGCAAGAGGTGGTCGGTGTTAGAGGCCCAGCCACAGTTGGTCTCCTGGTTCCATCTGGCAGCAAGGAGCTACTTCTGAGAACTTTTCTCTCTGTCCCTCCTTGTTGGGTCCAGGGGAGCCTAGAGTGGTGGGGTTTCTTTGATTTGCTGCATGAGAAGTGATTTGCAACAACAAGCTTTACTTCTGGAAGGTTTTCCGGTGGCCAATTGCTGCTTATACTGTAGAGCAGTGACTTTTTGTTCAGCCTCTCTCTGTATCCACTTTTCTTCAGACCACAGCAAGTCAGGGAGAGGTGGGTGGGGACCAACGTGCCTGCGCTTGCAGGAAGCTGGTTTCCGCAGGTTAGAGAACAGCCTCTCTTCCCTGCAGAACAACTTCATCAACCTCAGCTTCCTACGCCTCTTCCGTGCTGCCCGGCTCATCAAGCTGCTCCGCCAAGGCTACACCATCCGCATCCTGCTGTGGACCTTCGTCCAGTCCTTCAAGGTGAAGCCCAGGCACGGCCAAGTGCCCTGACCCTTCCCTTTGTCATGCACAGTGGTGTGGCCACCCCCTCTCTTGCCACCAGAGCAGCCCCCCTCTTGGAGGCTCCTTGTCGGCACCTATTTTCCTATGGTAGTTTATAAATACATTTTAAGTTATCCAGAGAGTATCTTGATAATGCTCACTGACTCTGAGATAAGCTTTATGACCGATTATAGATGAAGAAACTGAGGTGGTCGCCTGGTAGAGGGGCTTCATGGTCAGTGGGGGTGGATCTGTGGTAGCTGAGGTCTGAGTGGCTCCAGAGACCCGGCCACCATCCACTCCGCAGACGAGGCCCAAGCAAGGTGGCCGTCGGGCCCTCCCTGGAGCTGCTCCGTTTCCTGCGTGTCTCCACAGGCCCTGCCTTACGTGTGTCTGCTCATCGCCATGCTTTTCTTCATCTATGCCATCATTGGCATGCAGGTGGGTGTGCCTGCCAGGATGGGGTGCATGAGGGGTTCCTGTGCCCTGGAGCAGAAGGGCACTCATCACAGTCATCAAATGATAACAATGACAGATTGACACTTAGTGATGATTTCTGCGAGCCAGGTATTAGTCTAAGCACTTCATGAACTTAATTCTCAGAAGGGCTGTTCTATCAATAAAGGACACAGAGGTTGGGCACCAAGAGGTTGGATCTGTTGCCCAGAGTGGGGGTAGTAGCTGTGGGAAGATGCACTGCTGTGCTCCTGAGTGGAACCCCACTGAGCCATTGATGGGCAGGTTTGATTGGGTGCTGGACCCCCATGGTAGTGGCGCATTGGCACATCTTCCTGGTGCTGAGTGGCCTGTAGAGCAGCAGCTGGCCATTTGGATAGTCCAGAGAGTTGCCCTGATCCTTTAGAGGAAATTGCATATTACAGAAGAAAAAAGTCAGCAGGATCACATCAGATCGCTATACTGTCCAATTCAGTGTGGATCATTTAGATTGCTTTTATTTTGCTGAAGAACCCTTTGTCAGCTATTTGGAAAAACATTTAAAAGACACAAAGCAGTGTTCCAGTTTTAAGCCTTTTGACATCTGGCCTCTTTCCAACAGTAGGGTGGGAGACGGGCCCAAATGTTCATGTGTAGTGGGAGAAGCCACTGTCTTAAAGGCTAGCTGAAAACTGATTTTTAAACTCTGTTTCAAGGATTAAAAAGTTCTCCCATTTTAAAATGTGCTGAGATCTGATGCTATTTAAAACAAATCTATATCTTTTCCTGCTTTGGTCTGTGGATGTACAAACCATAAATGTCATTGAGCTTTGTTTTTGGTGAATATGTGATAGTTCATAAATTTTTCAGCCAGATTCCGGATTTTAAGCCAAGTACAATTACTGACCTGTTTGCATTTCTAACCCTGAAACGATATCAATTAAAATGCATAAAAAGCCCATTGTGATATTTGCATAGAAATTTAAAAAGAAACTTTCAAGTAATCTCATAGCTATTACCAATATAATTACTGCTTCAGAATCATTGACGAGAGAGTCAACTTTCAAATGCTTACAGCCCATGTCAACTCAGCTCCAGGTCCCACTTTTACTAGGCATGCACACTTGCATCTGTGGACTTGCTGAGCTGTGGGACATTGACATATTTGGCCTTGGAGAGGTTTCCTCTGCCCTGGAAATGCACAGACACCATCAGAGCTGGAAGCCCTGTTTCCTGCAGCCCCTGCAGTAGTGGTGGTAGCTAAGGGCAGTGTCCTGTGCCTTATGGGTCTTCTTCTGCCTGGCCACAGCTCCTGATGACCCAACAGTATCAGCCTGTGGCCTTCTTTTTTGTTTCAGGTATTTGGAAATATTGCCCTGGATGATGACACCAGCATCAACCGGCACAACAACTTTCGAACATTTTTACAAGCCTTGATGCTGTTGTTCAGGTGTGTTGTTTGGGAAGTCAGCCCACGCTCAGAGGCCTCTCCACCCAGGATGCACAGGGTGTGTGCTGACCCACGGGGCTACCCAGCTTGTGCTGGCCTCCCCTTAATGGACCTTTCCAGCTTCTCTCCTCTTTTTGTTGTCCTTTCCTAAGGGTTCCTGGGCTTCAGTCAGCCTGAGCCCCGTGTTAGTCTGACCTCCCCCACCTCGTCTCTGATCCCTGACAGCGACCAAAACGCCTCTAGCAAGGCTGCAGCTGAGAGTCTGGGAAGACAGAAGGTGCCCAGCAAGGCCTTTTTTTGGTGTGCTGGCCATAAGCTTTCCGTCTGTTGGCCTTGTTGATTATGGTGATCTGTGGGATCAGGGGGAAGCAGAGCAGTGGGAACCCCTTTTGATACAGTATGTGCTACTCAGTGACCCAAGGAACTCAGCTGGCCAGAACTGCTGGTCTGAGTGCACCTCCACCTGCCCCCATGGCTCACAGGACTGCAATTCTCTAGGCCCCAAGTCAAGTGCCAGGGTGGACTCTTGAGGGCACAGAGCTTGTTTTTGGCCAGAGCTCCCCCCCCACCCCGCAAAGGTGTGCTTGGGAGCGCTTGGTGCCAGCTGCTGTTCTTAGGCACAGCACACCCTCTGTGGATTGGAGGCTGTTGACCATGCTGGTTTGAGGGCTGAGGGGAGAGGACTGAATGTGTCTCCTTGCCTCCAGAGTCTCTTCCACTTAACCAAGCCCACCACCGTGACCCTGGGAGCGAAGGAAGGAGCTCTTTGTAGTGGCTAGAGGAGGAGGGGTGCTGACATCATTCCCTGCCTGGTGCCCCTTCATAAGGTGTCCACACTGGTGTTTATGTATGTAAATGCATCAGGCTGCTGTGAGGCCTGTGCTGGGGATGCCCAACACCACTAACCCCGTGCAGTGCACTCTGGGGCATGGGGAAGTTCTTGTCTGGAGGGAGATCAGAGCCAGGTCTGCTTTGCTGAGCTGCCTGGAGGGAGTGGTCTGACTCTTATTTTTTATATCAGACGGACAAGTGTCCTTAGGCCTACGCTTTCCCCAAATAGAATCATTTCTCTGGATTTTAGCTATTATGTTAATTTTATCTCTTCATTTATTAATGTCCTGCCTTTGCTGCAAGAGTTGAGGCAGGCCTGTGAAACCAGCCTTAGTTTTAAGTTTTTGTTCTCTGAGATCTCTTTTCCTCCCTGATCTCTATGTCACACGTGTACACCAGTGTCAGCCAGGCCTGGCACAGGGCAACTGCTCTGCAGGAAAAGGCCCCTGCCCCTAGCCATTGTCAATGAGGAGTGGGCTCTACTTGTGCCCACAACTGGCCATAGAAGCACACCAAATTAGGGAGACTCAGGCCTCTGGTCTGCCTGTAAGTCTCGTGCACATCCTGCCCTTGTGCTGGCTGCATGTCCAGGGACAAAAGTCCAGGAAGAAGGGTTCTCCAGGGTGGCCACTGAGGTTGGGGGTTGTTCTTGGTGTGTTCAGGAAACAGCAGAGGCTGATGTGGCTGGAGTGGACTGAACAGGGACCACTGGGAAAGAACAGGCAGCAGGTGACACTGAGCTGTGGGAAGTTGAGTGTGAATTTTGGCTTTTGCAGCGAGACAGAGGTTGGTTGAGAGAAGTGACCTGATCTCACCTGTGTTTAGTGGGCCCACTGGGCTGTTGTGTGGGGAGGATCAGTTAGGAAGCTGTTGCAGCAGATCAGGGGAGGTGATTGTTGCTTAGCCCAGGGTGGTGAGAAGTGGTAAGATTCTGGCTGTTTTTTCATAGTAGATGAGGTGATGAATAGAGTGTGGTGAGCAAGAGAGGAGGCAAGGATGGCTGCGGCATTTTTGTCTTAAGAAACTGGAGGGATGGAGTCACCATTTTTTGAATCAAGGAAGGCTGGGTGGAGGGGTGGGGGAGAGACCAGGAAGGCTGGTGGGCTCTGTTGGCTTTGAGGTGGCAGAGGTCCATGAATGGGCGCTCACCATGGTGCTGAATTTTGGTGCAGTGCCTTATTTTCAGTAAATAGTTCTTTCTGAGTTAATGATCAGTCCTAATGCCAGAGGATTCTTTTTAAGAAGCATGCATCTCTTGGGGCGCCTGGGTGGCTCAGTCATTTAAGAGTCCCACTTTGGCTCAGGTCATGATCTCGCGGCTCGTGGGTTCAAGCTCTGTGTTGACAGCTCAGAGCCTGGAGCCTGTTTGGATTCTATGTCTCCCTCTCTCTCTGCCCCTCCCCTGCTCATGCTCTGTCTCTGCCTCAAAAATAAATAAACATTAAAAAAAAAGCAGGTGTTTTTTACCCATACCTTACATGTGAGCAGGTTCTCTGCGGGAGGGAACCCAGAGAGGGTGTGCACTTGAACCGGCTCTTCTGAGATCCCTTCCCAGGCTGGTCCAGGCCTTCCTTTATGGGCCTCATAGCTCTGCCATTCTTCTCAGGAGTGCCACTGGGGAGGCCTGGCACGAGATCATGCTGTCTTGTCTCAGCAACCAGGCCTGTGATGAGCACGCCAATGCCAATGAGTGTGGGAGCGACTTTGCCTACTTTTACTTCGTCTCCTTCATCTTCCTTTGCTCCTTTCTGGTAAGTCCTGGTCACTGTGCCCATGTGTCCACCTGTCTCAGTCCATTCTGGGTCCCCCTACATCTGTGACTGATCCCCGATACTGATTCATGTCGCATTACAGGCTGATTCCATGTTGATGGTCCTGTATCCCCCGAACTGATGACCTCATTAACCCTAAAAGGACCCACCCTGTGATGAGCTCCTGTGGGCCTTGCCTTTCCTTCTTAAAAAGGGTTTAAATTTTCCATGGGACAGTTGTCCCTTAGTCTTTAGCCTCTGCCATGGTGCTGGGATACAAAGAAGCATCACTCCAGCCGTTGTGCCTGAGGCTGATGAGCCTCAGGAAACTGGTGGTTGGAGAGGTCAGTGGACTAGGTCCTAGGAGTGTTGATTTTATTCCAAGTCATCAGACACCGCTGGGAAACTTTGAGCTGGGGCATGACACGATCTGCGTGATGTTTTAAAATCTTGCTCTGGCTCTGGCTTCTGGTCAGGAGAGGCTGAAGAGTGGTCAGGGAGATTATTGGAGGTAATAGTGCCTAGAGAAGTGTGGGGATGAAGGGGGTTGAGGTGCATTTTAAAGGTAGAGTAGGGGCGCCTGGGTGGCGCAGTCGGTTAAGCGTCCGACTTCAGCCAGGTCACGATCTCGCGGTCCGGGAGTTCGAGCCCCGTGTCGGGCTCTGGGCTGATGGCTCGGAGCCTGGAGCCTGTTTCCGATTCTGTGTCTCCCTCTCTCTCTGCCCCTCCCCCGTTCGTGCTCTGTCTCTCTCTGTCCCAAAAATAAAAATAAAAAAAAAATAAATAAAAAAATAAAGGTAGAGCCAACATGACTGATGATTAAACACAGGCGTGAGAGAAGAAAAGAGAGAAAGTGTTGCCTGTGGTTTGTTGGGGTGGTGGAGAAACAAGCCCTGTGTGCTGCCAGCGGGGATGTGAGGTGGTGCAGCTGCTGTGGAGAACAGTAGGGTGGTTCTTCAGTAAAGTGAAAATAGAAACACAGTATGATCCAGCAGTTCTGCTTCCGGGTGTATGCCAGAATTGAAGGCAGGAACTTGAATAAATATTTGTACGCATACGTTCATAGCAGCATTATTCACAACAGCAAGAAGGTAAAAGCAATCAAAGTGTCCAGCAGCAAATGATTGGTAAACAACATGTGATGTGAACGTACAGGGAATATCATTTAACCTTCTAAAGAGAGGCAGTTCTGACATAAGCTACAATATGAATGAACTGTGAAGTCATTATGCTAAGTGAAATAAACCAGTGAGAAAAGAAAAACACTGTATGGTTTCACCTTTGAGGCCCCCTGAACAGTGAAGTTTTAGAGACGAGGACAGGATGGTGGGTGCCAGGGGCTAGAGGAGGGGATGGGAGTTAGGGTTTAATCAGGATAGAGTTTCAGTTGGGGAAGATATAAGAGTTCTGGGGCTGGACGGTGGGAATGGTTGCACAACACTGTGAATGTGCTTGATGCCATTGAACTGCACGCTTGTGGGTGTTTAAATTGATAAGCTTTGTTATGCATATTTTATTACAATTTTTTAAAATGATATTAAGAAAGACTTAACCTAAATCCTATTCAAACTCTTTGAAAAAATAGAAGAGGAAACACTTCCTAACACATCCTGTGATGTTGGCATTACCCTGATACCAACACTGGGAAGGATGCCCCAATAAAAGAAAACTACAGACCAATATCCCTGATAAATAGACAGTAAGAATCTTGGATAAACTAATTCCAACAACACGTTAAAAGGATTCTATACCATGATCAAATGGATTTATTCCAGGCATGCAAGGATGCATTTTCAACAAATGAAAATCAACCTATGTGATGAGGAAAAAACCCACCTGATTATCTCAATAGATGCAAAAAAAAAAGCATGTGACAAAATTCAATATCCTTTCATGATAGAAACACTTATAACATGATGGAGAACATTTATGAAAAACGTATAGCTAAGATGTATTCAGTGGTGAAAGACTGAAAACTTTTCCCCAAATACCAGGAACAAGACAAGGATGCCCAATTTTATCGCTTCTATTCAATTCAACATTGTGCTGGAAGGCCTAGCTAGAGCAGTTGGGCCAGAAAAAGAAACAAAAGGCATTCAGATTGGAAAGGAAAAGGTAGAGCTATCTCTAGTTAAAGATGATGTTATTGTATATATAGGACATCCCAAAGAATACACACACGTGCACGTGCGCGTGCACGTGCACCACACACACACACACACACACACACATACACACACACAGTACTAAAACTAATAATTGAGTTAAAGTGTCAGGGTACAAAATCAACACACAAAAATCAGTTATGTTTCTATGCAACAGCAATAAACAACCTGAAAATGGGGCACCCAGTTGGTGAGCATCCGACTTCGGCTCAGGTCATGATCTCGCAGTTTGTGGGTTTGAGCCCCGTGCTGGGCTCCCTGCTGTCAGCACGGAGCCCACTTCAGATCTTCTCTCTCTCTCTCTCTGCCCCTCCCGTGTTTGTGTGCGCATGCTCTCTCTCTGTCAAAAATAAGTAAACATTAAAAAAAAAAAAAAACAACACAACAACCTGAAAAGGAAACTAAAGAAATAATTCCATTTCCAGTAGCATCCAAAGGGACAAAATATCTGGGAATCAATAAATACCCATGGAAATGAAACACTTGTACATTGTGAACTGCAAAATATTACTAAAATAAGTTAAAGATGACCTAATTCAATGAAAGGACATGCATGCCCATGGATCAGAAGACTTAGTAAGGTGGCAGTATCCCCACAAAGTGAGCTCCACATTCAGTGTGATCCTTGTCAGAGCTCTAATGGCCTTTCTGCAGAAATGGAAAAGCTTATCCTCAAACTCCTTTGGAATGGCAGGCAACTCCAATTTACAAAAAAGATTTTGAAAATTAAAGACCAAGTGAGAGAACTCATATTTCCCTATTTCATAACTTACTACTATAAAGCTATCATAAGTCAAAACAATGTGGCTGAATACACACTTTTCCAAAGAAGACATACAGCTGGCCTACGGGTACATGAAAAGGTGCTCGACATCACTCATCATCAGGAAAATGCAAATCAAAACCACAGTGACCTATCACGTCACACCTTTAGAATGGCCTATCATGAAAAAGACAAGAGATAGCAAGCGTTGGGAAAGATGTGGAGAAAAAAGAACCCCTGTCTAGTATTGGTAGGAATGTAAACTGGTGTAGCCACTATGGAAAACAGTATAGAGGTTCCTCAAAAAATTGAAAATAGAATTAAAATATGGCCCAGCAAATCCCATTTCTGGGTATATATCCAAAGGAAATGAAGACGGGATATTGAAGAGAAATATGCACGTCCGTGTTCATTGAAGCATTACTAACAGTAGGCAAGATACGGAAACAACCTAAGTGTTCATCAACAGATGAATGGATAAAGAAGATATGATACACCACACACACACACACGCACACACACACACACATACACTGGAGTATTATTCAGCCATTGAAAAGAAGGAAATCTTATCATTTGTGACAACATGGATGGATCTTGAGGGCATTATGCTAGTTGAAATAAGCCAGACAGAAAAAGACAAATACTGCATGATGTCACTTGTACGTGGAATTTTTTTTTGTTAAGTCAAATCCATAGAAACAGTAGAAAAGCTGTTGCCAGGGACTAGGGGGTTGGGAAAATAGGGAGAGGTTGGTAAAAGAGTACAAACTTTCATCTATAATATGAATAAAACCTGATGACATAATATCAAACATGGTGACTAGAGTGGATAACACTGTATTGTATAATTGAAATTTTCTAAGAGGGTAGAACTTAAATGTTCTACCAAAAAAAAATGTGATCTATATGTTAATTAACTAGACGGTAAGAATGCTATATATATCAGATTGACACAAGGTACACTTTAAATATCTTATAATTATGTCCGTTATATATATCTCAGTAAAGTTGGTGGTGGGAGGGGGACACTGTGGTATTGGTATAGCCCAGTGAGGTGGGATTGAGATTTCTGAAGTAAGTCCAAATATGTATGGACAATTGATTTTTGACAAGGATGCCAAGACTGTTCAGTATGGAAAGAATAGTTTTTTTAAGAAATGGTGAAGGAGGTGTCTGAATGGCTAAGTCAGTTAAGCCTCCGCTCTTAATTTCATCTCAGGTTATGTTCTCAGGGTTGTGAGATCAAGCCCTGTGTTGGGCTCCACACTGGGTGTGGAGTCTGCTTAAGATCTCTTTGTCTACTTCTACTTCTTTTACTCTCTCTGTCTTAAAAAAAATGATGAGGAGACAACTGGGTATCCACATGCAGAAAAGTAAAGATGAACCTCTATCTCACCACATACATATAACTGAACTCAGGATTGAGGAAAGACTTAAATATAAGAACTAAAACTATAAAACTCTTAAAAGAAAGCATAGAGGGCAGATCCTCATGATCTCTGATTTGGCAAAGGATTCCTAGATTTGACCCCAAAATCACAAGTAACAAAAGGAAAAATAAATTGGACTGTGCAAAATTAAAAACTTTTGTGCATCAAGAGGGATTATTAAAAATGTGAAAATACACTCTAAAGAATGGGAGAAAATATTTACAAATCACATATTTTATAAGGGGATAATATTGAAAACACATAAAGAACTCTTAGTACTCAACTAAAAAAGGCAACCATACAAAAAATGGACAAAGAATCAGAATAGACATTTTTGCAAAGAAGATATATAAAATGGCCAAGAAGCACATGAAGATATTCAACATCTTTGGTCATTACGGAAACTCATATCAAAACCACACACTCCCTTCACACTCATCAGAATGGCTATAATAATAATTTTTTAATGGAAAATAACAAACATTGGCAAGGACTTGGAGAAATAGTAACGTTGTACATTGTGATAGGAATGTAAAATGCAGCATCTTCTGTGGAAAACAGTTTGGCCAAAAGGTGGAAAGAATCCAGATGTCCGTCAGTAGATGAATGGGTAAACAAATTGTGGTATATACCTACTATGGAATATTATTCAGCCTTAAAAAGCAGTGAAGTTCTGACACATGTTAAAATATGAATGAACTTCACAAAGTCATGCTAAGTGAAAGAAGCCAGGCACAAAAGATCCTATGTTGTATGATTCCTTTT